ACACCCCCAGAAAAAGCTCCTTCTGTTTAAAATGTGATGGGCATCATAGGAGTACATATCTGACTGGGTACATTCTGATACGTGTACAAACACAGATATTAGGTTAATCAAGCTTAATTGACAATGGAAACCATAAGCTTCTTTTATTAAAAAAATAAAAAGGCCTATTTTTTTTTCTTCTTCACCAAGTAATTATTAATTATAGATCGACCCAAACAAAGACATAAACAAACATAATTAGAGAATGATGCCGACAAAAGGTGACTAAGCACGTGTGGATCTCCAAGTCAGGTGTTAAAATCGAGTAAAGCCCACTCTATCTAGCTCACAGCGAATCAATAAAGCCATCTGTCAAGCAACAGCAGCACAGTAGATAACATAAGGTCACGCATGGAGCTATTCTTCAGCTCAACTCTTTCCTTTATAGTCGCAGTAGTTGATTTGCTTGGGCGAGATTCAAAGACTGAGTATTTAGATCAAGAGAGTACATGTTGAGGACAATGCTGAAGTGATTTTGCTTGCTCCTGATACATTATTTTCCAGACTTCATATCAATCTGGTCGTCAAAGAAACTGATCACAGTGGCTAGTAACTGAGGAAAATCTAATGAGAACTGAAGTCTTATGTTTTGCAGCAGTTAGGCCTGGTTTCACAGATTAAACCAGGATTAGCTTTTATAAATGTGCATTGGAAAAAAAACATTACTGGTGTGGATCTAGAGACAAAAAAATGGCACTGATGTATTTTAAGATATGCCAGTGAAAGTTACTCAAATAGGCATTTTAGTCTGGGATTATAGGCTTAGGCCTTTTCTGTGAAAACAGGGGCTAAACATTTACTGGTCAATATAGACAAACCTGAAGTATTTAAATTGTTATACATAACACATTTAATTCAATTACATAAGGGATTTGTGAGTAAAATGATAAGTGAACAAATTATATATGTAGACCAAGACAAAAAATTGAATAAGTGGCTTTACCTTCAATGATGCTAAAGGGTGCTCAGGACCAAGTAAACTCCAGTGAAAGGCAGCCAAATCTTCATCAGGCAGTATGTGATTACCTTCAAAAACAGCATCAAGTTTTATATGATCATGTATCACAGAAGTACTAACTTTTGACACTTTTTTTAATTACAGCTGTAAAACATTTTTCAGCCATGAAATTGAAGGATTTGTGACAATATTGATAACATTTGAGCAATTATTTCTACATGTTTTTTTCTTTGGACAACAGAAATCTCAAGAGAACAGCATTTATTTGATTTTTTTTTTGCTATTTACCGTCACTTTTGATCAATTTAAGTTTTTCCATATCAATTCGAGTGAGAGTCCTCATCCTTTTTAATTGCACGTAAAGCGGTTTTGTAGAGCTGAAAACAGCCTCTTCTCGGCTACAATTACAGTGTTTAAGGTCGTGTCAAAGTAAAGTTTGTTCGAGGCCAGCCAATGAAGACCATGAGCTGGCATTGTGAAAATTTGTTACATTGTTAAGTATGCAAGTAACAGGAAGTGAGGCCGGAATTGAATTCTTTCTTTTAGGAAGCAACATCTTTATTTGTGCAATTTGATCTTAAAAACTTTGCAGACCTTTTACATCCAGCAAACAAACACTTTACACACTGTGTGAAAGGTTATACTCAAAAAAGCATAATAGGGGTACTTTAAAAAAAAAAAATTACTGACCCCAAATTTTGTTCAAAGGTAATGAAGGACTTGATTAGATAAGATGGAATAATTATTATAAAGACAAACCATTTTGTGTTCAGAAAAACATTCCCAATAAGACTAAGAACATGCATTAGGGTTAATGTAGGTGTCATGTTGAAGTGAAAATTGCTTGACAATCCTACAAACCTACCTAAAAGTGAAGCAAAAATGACAAAACGATTTGGATTGAGATTAAGTTGCTTGGCAACTTCGTGCATCAGGTATTGGCTGGTGGTGAGGCTTTTGCCGTTGCGGCTGAGTTTGAGAGCATGGGCACTGAAGTAGTACGGGATGTTGCACAGGGCGTAATCAGAATCATAGGCAACCAGGCCATGGAACCCATTTTCTCTAAATAAGGCAATCACTTCCTGGTGATGATCCTCTATGGTCTGGACAACCTGAGTGAGGAAGCAAATTACAGAAAGGCTCTTTAGAAGAACAAAAACAAATTCACCTTTACACAGATTTCCACGAAAGGATGCGTGGCACGTTAACTCTAGGAAATGTTATTTCTAATTGCATCACATAACGGCTTCTCTGTCAAATGCTTCAATCGATTAGCACTATTTGAAAGAATCAATGATGAGATGGTTCTGGGATGTGATGTGAATTTTAAAACTATACATTGAGCAACATGCCCAATGGCCTTTAACTTGATAGGAAAACAAGGCATGACTTGTGAACAAATACATTTTTAAATCCATTATATTGTACACATCCTGGCCCACATTTCAGTTTCTGAATTGATCCAATGAGTACAGGAGACAAGAAGATAAAAATCCCAGTAGTATAATTGTCCATGCCTACACTTATAAACGTTTGTTGAAAGTACTCCAAGAAAAAAAAAACGAAATAGATGCAAACTAAAGTGTCCATGGGCAAAAGTTTAATGAGCCGTGGCTCTCTTCTGAGAACAGGGCCCATAAACTCTCAGCCTGTACTGCTGCTAAATCTCAGCAGAAGTGACGCAAGAGAGCGTGCAGCCAATCACAGAGCAGCCATTCCTATTTGTGTGACGCAACAACCAATCACAGAAAAGAAGAGGTGGCGCTTCTTTTTGCCAGCACAACCTACAACTACATGGCATAAATGCATGTTATTCTTCCAGTCTGAGGTTTATATTTGGTTATATGTTTAGGTAAAACAATATTGAATAACCATGTTGTTGTTATTTATGCCATATATTATGCCATTAATAGTTAGGCTTCGATTTAATTCAGTTTTGATGTCAATGCTTTGCCAACCTGTATAGCAGGCTTGTGTTCACTAAATGCCTTTGGAAAAAAAACACCAGCATGTCCAACAGATTTGTGTTCCAACAAGTTGAAAAACCTTGCTGAAAACTGATTAGCTGGCTTGTAGAGAGGTTTTGTGTAGTTTTCAGCTGTTCAACCACGGTGAAAAATTAAAGCAGCTTGGTTCTAACATGTTTGTGTACATATGAATTAATGCAACGTGTAAACCAAGGTAGGGCTTTATTGTTTGATTGAAGAATGCGGTTTCACTGTCAGTCTAGTTTGATTACCTTCCCTTGGTCTTCTGACTGGTTTTAGAAACTTTTCAGCTAATACAAGCAAACAATCTTTTGTTGTTTTTGTTCAACTGGATACATAATACCACGAAATAAGTCTAGGCCACCTGCTAGCTGCCAACCCACTGTCATGTAAGTCAAACACTTGCCTGATCACTTGATCTGGGTCTGGTTCTGCTAAGCTAATGGCTGCATCATGTCAAAAACACAGCGGGCATCTGCCGCTACTCACCCCGATGTGGAACCTGAGGAGCGCCAGGCGGATGCAGTGGGCCATGCACACCGGGGGCAGGAACCAGACCTTGGGCGGCGGGGTTCCCTTGTTCTGGATGTGGCTGACAATCTGCTGGGCGGTCTGCCTCTCGTTCACCTGTCGCTTGACCCACTCATGGAGGCGGCCTTTCTCCAGGGCGCCATTGAAGCACACTAGCAGCTCGATGTTGCCGTTGAAACAGGCTTTGGCGAGGGCTGCGAGGTACCCGAGCATGTGGTTCCACTGGCCTCCGCTCACCCAGTCGGTGTAGAAGCCGCCGTAGAGCCGGTGCAGGCAGTTCTCAGCGTCAACCAGCAGCCGGAGCGGAGTTTGAGGGGGTCTCTGCCGGCCGCCGCCGACCAGACTACCTCGGGCGAGCTTCTGGAGCTCCACTGGCACCACGGCATTGGGGCAATGCTTCTCAATGTATTCCTGGAAACCCTGCACACCCATGACTGTTGTTTTATAATATGATATCGACTGTTATTTCGGGTTAAGTAAGAACGTAAAATTGTCTGGAGGAAATGGAGACAGAGCGAGAGAGAGTTGCAAGCAAGCAGCCTCTCCCGAATGCTGAAAACCGGATTGAAGAATATTGCGGCGGATGTGATAGTTGATTAATCGAAAATCAATCAAATCGGAGATGCATCTGTAGGTTTTGGTGAGTTGTTTTTTGGTTCATGGCTGCTCGCCGCCATGTGCACCCTTATGGAGCCATGTCTGCGGTCTGGATGTATCTGGTAAGTAGGGGAAAGACAGGAGAAGAGCGACGCAGGGCACGTACAGGCAGTCACACCGGAGGCGGAGTCTGGAGTTCAGTGGGTTATGATACTCTTGCTCATATGAGCCGTAGTCTTTTTAAAGTTGAACATTTTACCAATAACTAGTCCTACTATGTAAATAGTAGGAATACATAACGTGGAATAGTATATGGATAATAAAGGCTACGAACACTATTAATATGCTATACTATAAATATAAACACCAATGTTGTTTGCTATATTGACTTCCAATATCAGCTGTATTTGCTACGGTAACGGATTCCCGTTGTGACAACTGTACTATTCGCTAGAATTATATAATATAATTAATAACTGCTAATGTTCTTAAAGTTAATTAATAGCTTTTTTTAATACTAGGGGTCCATCTGTTGGCTGTGGGTCTTGGTCGAAAATTAAACGTTTTTCAAGGTTCAATCGATAGAGGGCGCCAATGCGTTATTTATTTTTGTACACAAGAAGCCAGGTTTTTCTTATTAGAAGCAGACACTTTGGCACGACACATTGTTGGTGATAAGATATGATCTAATTCGATCTACCACACTGGTAATCTGTCATTTGATTTATTTGAATTCAAAACAGCCAGTGTGCAAAAAAAAAAAAGAGAGAGAGAGACAATTCAGTCAATTAACTATCCCTTATGTCATTTCAAATCTGTATGACTTTCTTCTGTGAAAGAAGATAATTTGAATAATGTCTCAGTACATATATTATACAGACAGAAAATGTTGGTAAGTATCATTTTATTTGTGTCGAGAAGAAATCGTTTCACAGACAACTGAAGAAACAGAGAATTCTACATTGCTACTGTGTGAAAACTGAATACTAAAAAAAAGTATACAAAAACATCAAATGTATTGAGGAAATATTTACATTTAGCTGAAACACAGCATTTTCAATTATTATACAAAAAAGTGGCACATACTACATCTACAAACATTTTTGTCTACTTGACCAAAAATCTGTATGTATGCTTTATAAAAGTGCAATTTAAAGCCTGAGGTTTGGCTGAGTGAATATATCAGAAAGAATGCAACGAATAAATGCACAGGTCATGTTTAAGACTGTTACTGTATTACTGTCTTTAAAAATAATAGTTCACCCGAAAAATGAAACTTCTGTCATTAAAAAAACAAACTTTTTGAGTCTCAAGCTCCAAAAATGGACCAGAAGGCACCATAAAATCAGTCCATATTATTAAGAAACAGACTAAAAGCCATCATTCATTCATAAGACATAAGATTCCTTCATTCATTCAAGTATTAGATCTGCTGTTTTATCCTTTTTGGAGCTTGACATGATTGTTATAAACTCTTGTACTAAAAAATTTTGAATTGCTCCTGTGTTTCACAGAAAAACAGGTTTAAACAACATGAGGGTGGATCTAAAAACTGAAAGTTTCATTTTTGGGTGAACTATCACTTTAAACTATCATGCTTTCTTCTTTATCTTTATCTAGTATGTTTACATGCATAATGAAAGCAAAAACTGATTGCAACACTTACATTTTAAATGTCTATACATTACTGATATTTGTACAAAGGCTTTTATTCTTGAATCAGCATATGTCGTGCATGCAAACATACTCAACATTATTAATTGAGGTTATAATTATAAGTGGTCCCTTTGTTACCTTTAACACTACCTCCTCATCCATGTTAAACAAAACAAAAAAAATGTGGGGTTCGGTTTAAGGATGGCTGCTTTAGACTCGCATAAATATCACAGAAATTGAGATATTCCACAAATAGACCGCAGACAGCACCATAGTGTCGGCCCAGATCCGGGCCCCATCTGGTACACTTGGATTCCACACCGTCCTGAACTGGGTCGACACTATTTTGCTGTCTGTGCATGTTGTCTTCGCCAGCCCACCTCTCGCGATAAACTGGGCTACCAGATGGCAAAACTGCCGCTCAGACGTCCAGTGACATTCTGAAGTGTTGTACCCTCTGAGACAACTCTTTGGCAATGTCCTCTGCCTCCTGGACAGCCAGTTTGTCAGGGAAGTTCACAGCTGCCTTCTTGGTCACCATGGCCAGTTGCTTGAGATAGGCACACAACTGAGTGCTCATAGACAACATGTCCCGGTTGGCTTCTCGACTTTTGGCTTCACTACACAGAGTGTTCACAAGTCTTTGGCCTACCATAATAATCAGCTTGCTGTGGGAGATGAATTTTTCCGGGGGCTGGCCATCATTCAGACTACTTCTAAACACGCTGATGGCCTTCTGAATGGCACCAAAATATAGCCGGCAGTGGTCAGAGATGGAAGGCTTCCTGGAGGTTTGGTGTGGACTGCAGGGGCTAACGGGTTGTGATTTTAAAACCTGTTGAAGACACGATAAATAATGAAAATGTTTAGAATGTCCAAATCAATATAAGTTTTGAACACAATACTGGGAGCGTCACACGTTTTTACCTGTTTTTTATCACCGTTTTTCTTTGATTTAAAGCTGCTCTTTGTCGGTTTTGGTTGTTGGTCAACCTCTGGCTTTGTCTGTTGAAAAGCAATAACATTGGTTAAAAAATATTTAAGAAAACAATACTGTTCATGTCTTATAATGTATTCAATGTAATACTACTATTCAAAAGTTTGGGGTCAGTAATTTTACTTTTATTAGGAATGCATTAATTTGGTCAAAAGTGACAGTAAAGACATTTAAAAGGTTACACAATTTCTATTTCTATTCTATTTCAAATACTGTTGAGCAGCCAATCAGCATATTAGAATGATTTCAAAAGAATCACTGAAAACTGGAGTAATGATGCTGAAAATATAGCTTGGCCATCACAGGAATAAACTACATTTAAAAAAATATATTAAAATAGAAAATGGTTATTGTAAATGATACAAAAATATCTCACAATATTACTGTTTTTGCTGATCAAATAAATGCAGTCTTGGTGAGCATAAGATAATTCTTTAAAAAACATAAAAGTTAGGATGTTCAAAGGATTTTGATTTATGGTATAACGTAGTATTAGTCGTAGCAGGGATGCAAGATATAGCAGTATCATATCAGCAGATATTAAAAAATATATAATAATTAAAAAAAATATATAGAAAATAATAATAATTTATCACGCATGATAATTGTTTCCATATAGATGACCAAGTCAAATTAATAATTTAATAGCACTATTAAGAAGAAGAAGAGTATTTACAACGATTTATTAGTTTTTATCGTTATATTTATAATTTATTTCATTTATTTATATATAATATATATATACATAAAATACATTTCTAATATAATCCTTTTTAAAATCATCAATTTATTGGTTATAACATGAAAATACTTTATGGGGTTATCGGTATGGATCCAAAATTTAGAGTAATAGCATTTTATTTATTAATATAACTGCTATTGATGTTAATGAGAGTAGCCTGTAGTGTGATTTGCCTACCTGAAGTTGCACATAGTCACTCTCATCTATTCCTGAGTCTACCATTGGTTCACATTTACTTCTCCATTCAGACGAGCCTACATCCTCCACCACGTCTGGTTCCTTTGTCGGCACTCTGAAAAGAAGCTTTCCGTTTGCGTTCAGGATGGACACCAGTCTCTTCACATCCTCTGGTACGGTCCGAGCCACCATAACAAACCGCTCCAGGTGGTCAGGCGTCTGGGAATGGCCGGCATCCTGAACTAGCTTATCCAGCAGCCAGCCCCGATCTCGTAAAGCGCTTGAAGCCTGCTGAAGTATCAAGCCTGAGTCTTCAACGATGGAGAGTTGCTTCAGGAGCCTGGTCTGGAGGTTAGAGTCGGTCAGCCGCTGCGCATTACCTCTGACATCCAAGGCAAAGTTCAAGAAGCAGTTGACGGAGTCAGTCACGTCTTCGGTAGCCGTGCGGATCTTATGGAGGTGCTGTTCCAGGTGCTCTTTGCTCCTCCATTGGCTGCTGACGAACAGCATAAGCTTGGGGACGGATTGGCACACCACTTCCAGCAGCTCGAGCAACCTGCTCCCAGCCTCCTCCTGTGAAAGCGTGACCTCACGCAAGGGCTCGGGTTCCGGAGAACTCAGCATGAAGGAGTCGCAAGAGCTCCTGGAAGAACTGGAAGAGCTGGAAGCCATGGAAGAAGTGGACACCGTTGAGCTCCTCTGGTGGTCTTTGTTATTTTCATTGTCCGTTCTAATCATCCCTTCCACAGGCTTCCTGGACATCGCCCTGTCTCTTGAGGGCCAATGTTGAAGTTGGTCATACATGAGTCCAGGTTTACCCCTGTAGTCAAGGGGTTCGTGGCTCTTTATAGAGTCCATTTCAGGAAGGCTTTGGTGTTTGGGCGTCTCTTTCGGTTTAAGGCAAGGTGGGACATCATAGATGCATGCATTTGTTGATTTCCCAGCGTCTATACAAGATTGCACCGCAGCATTGCTCGGTTTGGGGATGTCATAGAGGGGCTGGGCGGCACTGTGCTTCCTTTCAGGCCTAATGTGTTTTGGCAAAGTATCATAAAGCGGCTTGTTTTTTGAATTAATAGTTTTGGGTGGCATGGTTCCATAATAACCAGGTTCACATCCTTGTTTTTGTGGGAAGAGAGGCACATCATAAATCCATTCAGACTTAGAGGATTCAGGCATGGTAATAAAACCACATGGAGGCTTTTGAATATCCTCACTGATGGAGGGTATTGGGATGTCATAATTGGGATCTTGGGACACTAATGGGTGTATAGTGGCGACCTAAAATAGAAGCAAACAGGTTTTCAGTTAGAAATGGTTCTGAAATTGCACAAATTTTACTGTACATGCATTACCGTGCCTACTTTTATATTGGTTGCAGTTGCGCATCTTGTATTTTGTAGCATTTCATATCTTTTTTTAAACGATGCGGTGCTTGACGACGTCAGTAATGTTTCCCTTTCCAAAGGCCGCCGTGTAGATGACTTCAAAAGACAAGTTACACAGTTTATGAAGTTAAATGTTATCAATGTTATTTTGCAGAGTATTTCTAAAGCTGACCATCAATCTTTTGATTGTATAACCAAAAATGACTATTGTTAAGGTTTTCAAACTTTTCAATTGGGACTTAAGACCCATAATTTTGGTGTTGTTTAAAAAAAAAAATACACACAAAAAAGCACATTTTTTTCCAAAATCAAATAACTGGTTGATATTGTCAGTATACTAATGTGAAAAACAAAACAAATAATTCATTTTTAAAAATACAATGTAGGCCTGTCTCTTTTTTTTTTACCTGCTATCAATATTAGATAATTTTTTCTATTAAAACTATGATTTGTACAGTAAATATTTTCATACTGACAAAACAATGGCAGTCAATAAAATAGATTGTGCAAAAACCAGAATTAAACATTAAAACAGATTTATAACTATATAAGTTCTACATTTTTATTTCTTTCCTACATTTCACCCTGTTTTCTCTAAAATAAAATAAATAATTATATATATTCTGCAGACCCCCTTTCAGCCCCCTGGGGGGTCCCTAAGAAAACCTCAAGAGGACTTACTGTGAAGAAGGTGGGTTTTCTCACCAGACTTGGGACATCATATATTTCGGTACCAGTTCTGGGATGAGCAGTTAGAGCCTGAAAAGAGCAAAAGTGTATGTCTAGTCACACAACTAACTCAACAAACAAACAATTCAATACTCTGTGGAGGTGTCAACACGTGGCCCACTTCTTACTGCGAGACAGGAACCTTTAAAGTGCTGTGCACTTTACTGTACCTGTGCCCTGTTAACCCAGTTTCCTAATTAAACCATGTTATAAGCAGCTATAGTAAACGTCTCCCTGAAGCAGGAGGGGAAGTGGGCAACATGTGCACCCAGTTGCCTCATATATTACACAGTAACTTGCACAGACACTTTTCTCTCTCTTTCTGTCTTTCTCTCTTCCCCTCTCTCATTCTTTCTCTGGGGTACTCAGCCCTAGATTTTCTGGTTGCAGTTAGTTGTGTCTGAAATCTGTCTTTGCTGTTCTTTTATGAGCTTATAAAGCCCCTGTGCTACATACCTGTCCCCGCAGAGAGAGGCCCCTGGTCCCCATCTGTAAACTCTTTGCCAGCAGGGGTTTCCGAGACCTTGCTTGTTGTTCACCTCAGTTCTAAATCATCTAAATATTCAGATCTGTCTTTTATGATTGCAAGGGTAATATTTATTTTATATAACAGTTCTAAACAAAGTAACTTAACATTTTTGAAAAATTTCAGTGTCTTTTTTTTTTTTGCTCTGCCAAAGAAAATAGTTTCAGGCAAAGTTGCAACCGTCGCATGTCTCTGAGACACACTTCAACAGTACGGTTTAGTTACTAAATTAATCAGTGTTTAAGAATGAAATCCTATGAATGAATTATTAATTATTAATCATTGTTTTTGAATGAATCGGTTGGGTGAATGACTCATTCATCTGAAATAGCATACTACTATAAGTACTTCTTAATAAGTAAACACTTTGTGACTGCTGAAAAATATGTTCTATTTAATACGAATATGTGTACAGTATGAATGTAATCTGGGTGTCCTATAGACTTTATACGAGCTACGCTCATTGCGTTCTGTCTTCTGGTTTGCATTCCCACAGAATGAAGATTTATGAATGAACCGCTAGTTTTAAAATCTTCTTAGTCTTCAGGCATTTGTTATGACATCCGCTTCAAAAATATTTCCCTAACTCTAAAATAAGTAAATCCACTTCACCGGCTAATTATCCTACTCTTTGACAGCCATAGAAATATACAGGGCTACCACAAAAACAGAAGTTCATAGACAAAATTCTAAAGATGGCTGCACGCTTGTTTTTCTGGTGCATAAGGCCTATTGTCATGTGACCCACCCGCATCATTTGCGTTACTTCACTGTCAATCACAATGGCCTCATTGCCTCAATACTGTGAATTTAGACAATAAACTCATTTCATATACTGTCTTTATCTACTATATAGGGAATTATGTGTAATTGGATGCAGGCAGCCAGTCACTTGATTCAGTCTTGAAATAATCCATGTTTTGAATGAGTCTTTCGGAAGAATGATTCAGTGAATCAGTGTTTTAACAAATTGATTGGATAGATGATTCAAATTGATTACTCTCTCATAAAGACGATTATTGTCATCTACCGGTGTAACCTGAGGAAATAGTCCCTGAATAATCCTCACCACTAATGCATAAATTGACAGTCTGAACAACTCAAAGGCTCCAGTGATGTTGGGCCAATCAAATTCAAACTCAGGAACTAACTATTGCATAAAACATAAACATGACTCAGTAATAGAAAAGGTGCGGTTGATCCAATGAGAGACTTACTTTATGTGGAGACCTGGTTCCTCCTGTATCGTCTTGCTTATCTGGTGAAGGGTTGGTTTGATGGGGCACTTTATATATTGTATTCATATCTTCATAAATTGGATTCCCCGACGGATTGGTAGTATTTGGAGTTTGATAGATGTTCTGATGGCTATGGTTGCTCAAGTAGTCTCTCTGTGCACTTAAGTTCGCACAAAGTTTCTCAGCCTCTGCTGGAGAAAGAGGAGCCAGGCGATTCGCTGGTGCCAGGCCCTGACGTCCATGAAGAGAACATGTCCACCAACCATTGCTCCCCGCCACATTTTTCTCTAGCACTATGATGATGTCACCCTTGCGAAAAGCCAGCTCATCTTCAGTTTCGGCTGTGTTGTCATAGAGAGCTCTGGCATACAGGGTCTGAAGGGAACAGAAGAGATTGGTGCCTTAAGATAAGTTCTGGTCAGAAGAAGACACGTAATGACAATGACACACAATGAAGAAGCACCACGGATGGCAGTAATGTCTTAGAATAGGCTTTGAATGAACAATGGCCTTGTGTGACAAGAATAATGGGCCAGCGCGTAACTAGGCATGAAGAATCCACGTGATCCCTGTTCCCTAGTTATCCTCTAAAGCTTTGTTCAGCAGCAAAAATCCAACACAAATATACTTTTTTCTTTGCCTCTTTGCAATATTATACTACCAGTATCGATATCGGTAAATTCAAAACTTTGGGGTCAGTAATATCTATATATTTTTTATAAGAAATGCACATCTTTTATTATGCAAGGAAGGACACATAAAAAATACATCAAAAGTGACAGTGAAGAGATTTTAATGTTACAGAAAATTCCCATTTCAAATATATGCTAAACCTTTCAATTCATCAAAGAATTCTAAAAAAAATGGTATATGTTTCCACAAACATTTTAAGCAATTGTTTTCAACATTGATAATAATAAGAACTGTCTCTTGAGCAGCAAATCAGCATATTAGAATGATTTCTGAAGGATCATGTGACACAAAAGACGACGGTAGAGTAAGGATGCAGAATATTTAGTTTGCCCATCACAGGAATAAATTACATTTGAAAATATATATTAAAATAGAAAATTAGTTATTCAAAATTCCAATAATATTTCACTGTTTTACTGTATCATTGATCAAATAAATACAGCCGTGATGAGCACAAGAGACTTAAAGGGATACTCCACTTTTTTGGAAATAGGCTCATTTTACCACTCCCCCAGAGTTAAACAGTTGGGTTTTACCGTTTTCGAATCCATTCAGCTGATTTTCTGATATTTAGACGAATATCAGAAACCAGACAGTTTTTGGTCTCATTGACTTCCATAGTAGGAAAAAAAATATACTATGGAAGTCAATGGGACCAGAAACTGTCTGGTTTCTGATATCCTTCTAAATATCAGAAAACTGGCTGAATACATTCGAAAACGGTAAAACCCAACTGTTTAACTATGGGGGAGTGGTAAAATGAGCCTATTTCCAAAAAAAGTGGGGTATCCCTTTAAAACATAAAAATATGTTTTCCTAATAAGACAGGTGTATGGATGAAAAGCCTTTCTCTAGGCTTGGTTTTCACTTCCTACAACAATTGTCTTTAGAAAAAAGGAAACATCTTCCACACACTTTCCTGTGTCTACATTTTAAAATCCCAAATATACAACATTTCTGGTCTAGACTGTTTATCGGTGGGAAACAGGTTGGACAATGAATCCATTCAAATTCAAAATCATTTTTAGCAGAAATATCTAAAGCACTCTGTCTGTCTGTAAATTCAATAGCGTTTCCAGATTTTGATACTCATGAACTTCAGATGTCTGTACAGTTATTTATAAACAGGCCCTCAGACACAAACACAAACACCTGCAAATCATAAAGTAAACAAGATATTTGATATTTGTGACATCTGGAGCGCCACTCGCTCAGCACACACACACACACACTCCTGTAGTATGTCCACACGTCTCTTTAAACCCCGTCCCATGTGCTCACAAATTCCTCAGCAGCAACAGTGCACATGCTTCACGTCCTACAGCACTGGATACATTATGGAGGAATACCTTGAATGAACACGATCTATCAGTCACTCAGCTTTATTATCAGTGACATAAAACAAATCAAATCCAAATTTAAATGTTAAGATCAGATTTCAATTTGCATTCGGGAAATGTAAGGTCATGCAAAGCGTTCAGTATTGTCTGACACACACACGCCTGTTAGAATTATTTTGGTAAATACAACATCAGATGAACAACGAAAAATGACATATTACACTGTGTAATTATTTATTTAACAAAAATAAAGTCAAAAGGGAAAACCCATGTGTGACAAACTAAGTACACCCTATGATTCAATTGCTTGTATGACTTGGGGGAATTTTGGCTCAGTTCATTGAGGTTTGGGGGCACAGCTCTCTGGTCCCGCATTTCAGTTGGGTTGATGTCTGGACTTTGTGCAACACCTTGATTCTTTTCTGTTTCAGCCATTCTGTTGTAGATTTGCTGGTGTTCTCGTGATCATTGTCCTGTTGCATGCATGCAGAAAAGCTTGCACGGTCAAGCTTTCGCTGTCGGACACTAAAATCATTTGACTCAAGAATACTTTGGTATACAGAGAAGTTCATGGTTGACTCAATGACTGCAAAATTCTCAGGTTTTGTGGTATGCTGTAAGCCATGCTGCCATGTTCTTTTTAGAGATAAGAGGCTTTATCCTGGCAACCTTAAGCAAACTAAAAACCCGGCCTCGAACCCGGGTCTCCGGCATAAGAGTCGGGCGCTCTAACAAGGAGGCTCTAACAATAGGCGCCTATTGAGATTAGAGGAGTGAGGTTTACTTGCACAGCAACTAGCTGGCCTCTGTTACACATGCCATTCTTGTCCCATCTTTTTCTAATTGTACTTCCATCAACTTTCACATTTAACATGTTAACTGAGGGCTGTAGAGTCTGAAGGGTAGTTCTTATGTGGTGAATTTGCTGGGACGTCCACATCTGGGAAAATTGGGATCTGTCTTGAATGTTTTCCACATTTTTTTTTTTTTTTTTGTAAATTGCTGTATAACCATATATATATGTATATATATGGTTATACAGCAGTGAAAAAAATAAAATATAAAATCATATAAAAAATAAATATAAAATCAAATATTATATATATATATATACATACTGTATATCATATTTGATTTTATATTACTTAAATTCTATTTTTATTATTACATTTAATCTAATAAACCTCAAACGTTTTAATTCACACACACAAAAAATGTTTGAACAAGAAACGAGTAAAAATCATTTGCAGGTGCTGTAAAAAAAAATTCATATTTAACAGAATATTCCTTTGAAATTTTTCAGAACCACCCTAATAACACTTCAAAATATAACCGCCACCCTAATAACATTTCAAAATATAACCGCTATAAAAATAAATAGCTATCTGCAGAAATAGGTGACCTCATCATTGCAATGTACATAAATGCATGTGTGTTCAGTATAGCTAATGTTCAGCTCCCCCAACCCATATCCGCTCGCTCACACACACACGCACACGCGGCAGCCTTCCTTCCTCAATCCTCCACTCGCTGCTGATAAGAGACACAGACACAAGCACTGCCTTAAATGGCTCATGGACAAAGCCTCTATTCAGCCCACATGGCTGACAAACCGAGCACCTGTTCCGCTCACAAGCCCTCCAGTCGCCTGCAACATGGGCTCTGGGTAATGCACGCTGACCACAACAAACCACAGGCCCTCTACTCTGACCCACACAGACCAGAGCGCAATAGGGCTAGTGCCAGCACGCTTTGTGTGGGAACCAAGCTGCAAATGAGAACGAAACTCGAAGTTGCACTCAACATATTTTAAAGTAGTCATAGCGTGATGTGGTTTTGCCAGCATACAAAATGATATCTGTATTCATTGTGGTTATGTTATGCGTGTCATCTATATATCTTCATGAGCACATTGATACTGATATAAAACGGACAGAGAATGTGTTCATTTTGATCACAGTCGGTTGTTGTATTAGTGCTAATAGCAGGGGTTTCAGAACATCGACAATGATTAATATGCCTAGTTTGCATAAAAAGGATGCAAGTTTGCACTGAAAGGAATGACTGCATTTAGAATGACAATTGTTGTGATGTTTCTATGTAAAAAATAGTGTTGGATTTAATTGAAAACATTTTTCACTCAGAAATTGTTTGTAAATGCCACAACAATAGCAAAGAAAAAGTAACAAACTTATTCAACGTGACATTTAATCCAAACATCTTTGTTTTATTTGCAACTTTGAAAATTCATTTTTAAAAGAGTAAGTCATCCATAGGTTGGGGGAATAAAATCGTATATGTATACAGATGCCACATTCGACCGCTCCACACACGTGGATGAATCCACCATCGAACGGCCAACATTTTAGATTGCTCCCTTCACTCATAGTGAAAATCAACAAGATTTCCAAGATGCCACAATATCACACAGCCTTTGGTTGTAAAAAAAAAAACACTGAGATTTAAATTCCTGAAGAAATAAGATAACCTTTTGGTGTGTTTTTATATATTAACTCAGTATTATAGGTTTTTAAACTATAGCAACTTTTTAATGTAATGTAAGCTAACGTCTTTGTCTTGTATTGTGTCAAGTTTGGCAAAATCCTCTGCTTAAATCTATTGTATAGATATTTATTTATACAAGCATATAATAAGGTTGCAGGTGCACAGTCAGTTTGCTCATTCACCGACCGGCTTTGGCCTGGGCAGACGACTTACATATAGCGGCCCTTTAACAATTATGAAAATTATGTATTTCTTAATAGTTTTTAACATAATTCTGCAAAAATAATAATAATAATAATAATAAATAGCTTTCAACATTGTTCACAAAGTTTCCTACAGCTAAATAATCTAACCAGCAGATTTATGTGCTCAAATACTGTGCTGAAATGGTGTGGCTGTTTATTAAATTTGCCCCCGGTGTGTATGACCGTACACGTCTTAAAAGGGAAGACTGCTGAGTGCGTACATTTCTAAGTTTGTGTTTGGAGTATGCGCGTGTGTACAGTGAGAAAGGAGGTCAAATTCAGATGGGATTCCTGCACACGCCTGCTTGTGCGGATCAGACTCGGACAGCTGGTCTCAGCTCTCGAGACGCAGCTGTCACTCTCCTTCATGTCTCACACCCTCTCTCGACAGGTCTTGTTCTCCTGTGAGATGAAAACTGCCATGCCATGCTGTGCTTTAACATATTGATATCTACATTTGTAAGTTTTAACAATATTTATTGCACAACTTGATTTATTAAACTTGATTTTGATTTAGCTAATCACAGCTATATTTTTCTAAAATGACTTGGGCTGGGTGAGAAACCTAAAAAAAAATGTTTTACCTTTTTGA